TGCTCTGAGCGCTTCCAGTTGCATTATTCGGATGTACTTGCTCTTTCACCCAACCTAGGTACTGTTTAAATTCCTTTTTGGAAAGTTAGGAGAAAAGTCATTTGGATAGACATTAACAAGTGTTGATGTTGGAGCATTTATGTCTTCAGCTGACATTGAATCTTACTCTGTTAAAACACCAGACCGCTGCACTAATGTTGAATAGGCGTCAATTCGTCTGCATAGGGCCCTTTTCCGTTGGTCTATGATAACCAAGAATGTCTTCACTTTGAATTTCTCCTGACCCGACATTTCATCCATCACACTTGCGGCATCTCCGTCATCTACTGTTTTCCTGTGTACACGTGCTCTCCGACTGTCTGATTTATATATTGTGCTGCTTCCCCGTCGGGCACTTGCCTTGTCATGGTAAAAGTTAAACATTCCTCGACACTCATCTATATATGTGTCTAAACGTCTTAACCATCCAATGGCTGGGCTTAGTTCAATAGTTGAATTTTGTAGCAGTTTACTGCAGCAATTGAAACGATGTAAAATGTCATTCCAAAGTTCACACATGAAAGCAACTTCAATGGTGCCCATATAACTTGCAAGTGTGCCAGATTCGTGCTTCGTGAGACCATTCTGGTCAATATCTTCTGCAATCTCTTGTAGAGCACTTTGGAATTGTTTGTAGCCCCTGAAGACTGCTTCTGTCGCATCAGCCCGGGCAGACCACCGGGTAACCCATGGGTGTTTTGGGACAAGACATTCAGGATTTTCCTCAACGTGTCGTAATAAAATATTCCAACGATGTGTTGATGCAACAAAAAATGAATACAAGCGCTGCAGGAACTGAAAGAAATCTACAGCTGATTGACCACCTTAATTTAGAGAGTGGCCTGCGCACGAAATATAATCCACAAGATTGTTTTTATTTTTCAAAATGTTCTGCATTCCAGTGTATTTACCAGACATGTTACTGGCATTGTCGTATGTCTGGCCACGACAACGAGCAACGTATCTGCAAGATTCTGTCCTGTGTGGCTCGAGATGTTGATGAATGTCAAAAAGCGCTCCTCGGGCCGGTGATCTACCATATTGCCATAGCGTAAAACAATGGTTAACTGATCAGAATGATGCGAAACACCTGGGGTAGAATCTACGGAGACTGAAAAGTACCTTGCCTTAGGAATTTCATCCTTGATGAGGTGAAGAACATACTTGCCTAACAAGTTAAGCAATTCTTCACAGGTTGTTTTTGACACGTATGAACAGTTGGTGGATCAAAAATCGGGTGTGGCTAAGGTTGTTTTCACTTCTTTACCACCAAATAGCAAGCAATGAGAACAAAACAGTTGTGATTTGTCCATACTCACGGCGAGCCACGCACCACGCATTTTGAGATCAATTCAAATTCAAACGAGAAGAGTCACCTTTGTCTTTCTTCTCTTTGTTCTACGTTCAATTCTTCTGGATGCTGAGGACGAAACCGCTTCACCTCCAAACTTCTCTAATTAATTTTCATCTGATGAAAAAGTTGCCTCAAAAGTGGTTTGATGTAATTAATAACTGTTGAATCTCCTGCCTGTTGCAGACACACAAACATGCATACACAGCACTCCACGAGCTCGGGGGTTTTGTAAACACAGTTCACCTTTCACCTCATGTACACTTAGAAAACTGTCGAATTTGGCAGAAATTAGGCTAGAAATGTAGCATTCGCAGGTTTTTGACTCCAGCAGGGCCACAACTTTGGAATTATTATCTGGGTTGCCAGGTATCTGGTGATTTAGACTTTATTTAGAGGCTGAAGGAGCTTGATTTGAAACCCAATGCCAATGATTCAATTTAATTTTAGAAAAAAATGTGGCCTAGAGAGAGGCCAAACAAAATGTCACATCACTTTCTGAACTAGGCCTGGGACTAATAACCCAGTCGGACTCTGACTTGGGCTAGCTTAGGGCTATTCTAGTTGTGGCCTTCCAGACTGGCCTTGCTGTGGCCTGATCAAAACGGGGGGAAAATGCGAAAAAATGTTGCCTTTGTTGTACCCTGTTTGTGGCCTATTTTTTTGAGTGGCCCCAAGGCAATTGCCTTATTTGCCTAATGGTTAATCCGGCACTGTCTAGATCTACAGAGAGTTATTGATAACGGCACATAGAACTATTAGAACTAGCATCTGCGTTTGTCGCGGCCGCGACCAATCAGTCGTGGCTCGATTTTTTGGCATTTTTTGGTCCCCGAATCAGGGAATAAAAGGCAAAGAAAAAAAATTAAAAAAGAAAAAAAAGTAAGAAACCGAACCTCTTTACTTTTGAAAGAAAGTTCACCCAGCTTCACTTCGTCTCTTTCTCACTTGTTGTCACCACGTTGATTTGTTGAATACGTTACAGTTACTTTTATTTTTCCCTCTTTGTGGTGTTTTATTCTGTTAGTGTGTATTTCTTTCTTTCTTGTTATTGTTCTGATGTGTTGTTTTTCTATCAATTTTTTTGTTGTTGGGGAAAAATGGGGGGGGGGGGGGGGGTGTTGTATAGTGTAACGTCATTTAATTTGATGTTCCTACCTTCATTAGATTCTAAATATATATACATGTACATGTATATAGATTTAAATGTGTTATGTTAGAGCGTACGTTCCACCAAAATCGATTACATGTACTGACACTGGCAGGCCCCTTAATATGTGTGATTCCAAAATTTACATGTAATATCCTGTACTTTGTTTTAAAATTACGCACATTTAGGGTTAAAACAGCCAATCTCCTTTGGACAGGTGGACTCACACCCTTATTTTTTGGGTTGTTTATGGGCTGTTCTAATTTTGATTTCATTCGGTTGTGAAACCTTTCTTTTTTCACGTTTTTACACTCATTTAAAAATCTATAGACTAGCTCTTGAAAATTGAAATAGATATATAGACCTAAAAAATTACTCCTGTGTGTGTGTGTGTGTGTGTGTGTGTGTGTGTGTGTGTGTGTGTGTTTGTGTGTGTGTGTTTGTGTGTGTGTGTGTGTGTGTGCGTATGCATGTGCGTGTGTCTGTGTGTGGTAGTAAGTGTGTAAGTGGAGAGTGAGGAGCGTGTGTATGTTTGTTTTTCGGGCTTTATTTTATTTCAGCCTTTATTCAGTAACAGTAACAGTTCAAAGTATACAAAAATAGAAACACAGGATCCATTCACTCCAGGGCTCATGAGTCGTTCCTCTCTTTCAGTTTCACTCATTCATTCAATTACCGTGTTCTCTCCCGCGGCTCATCCCCGTCCGCATGACTTTCACACCCCACCCCCTCCCTCCAGGCTCATACAAAGAAAATCTCACCCATTCCCTTGCACCCTGCGAACCATGGACAATATAATACATGCATAGAGGCAAAACACTGCCTTAGCCGCATTCCTTTCGTTCGTGAGCTCTGGACCAGGCCAGGGGGGTCGGTATCGTCGTTTTGTAGTTGCTGTCGCCTGTGGATACACTCGTACATTCTTCCTTTCACCCGCTCTTTCACTCACACTATCTCTCCATCCACAGCTCAGCTCGTCATACGTTCAAAAGTTGCCCACTGACCATGTTAAGTTAGTGTGGGTATCATATAAGTTAGTGTGTTTACATGTGCATGATGGTGGTGGGTGTGTGGTGGGTATTACTGAAGGTTGTCTGTAGGCGGGCTTGCCATGCGGTGTTCCTTCCCAGACCAGAGTCCAGCCAGAGGCAGAATGAAAGTTGGCGCCGAACTCTCGCAATATATAGGCAAAAAACCACGAGACCGGAAGCCGGAAACCGTTCGGAGAAATAAAGATCGGCACTATTTCCCCGAACGTTCGGAGAAATAGTCACTTCGTTTTTAAAATGAGGGGTCCAAAGTTGGTTTAGCCATGGCCATGGCAATCAAAGTTGTATGATGAATAAAGCATATTTTAAATAATATTTTAATGTATAATATTTGTATAAGTGTGCTCTTGTTACATTGTCATTCCTAGATACTCTATATCATTACTAAATACTAATTCAATACAAGTTTTACAGTAATCATGAGCTGAAAGTTGGACAAATTGTCAACTTCCTCAATTTTTTTAGATGAACCAACACATTCGGCAACAATCTTGTTACAAGCTACAGTAACACAACATTTTCTGCCCATTTTCAACAAGTCTATAGATCTACAATGTATTATTCCATTAGAAAGAACTGAAATTGATAATCCAAATGAAATACTAGGCCTATCCTCCCTCATGTCACACGTTTCACATCACAAGGCAAGGCGGCTGATATTTTGAAAACCTTGTTTATTTCCGTCGCTGTTCTTCTCACCTCCCCTGACCTATCACATTTCAGAAATGTTTTTCAAGTTAAAAAAAACTATTGTAATTAAAATGAAGAACATTTTCATAAATGGACAAATATAAAGTCCACATTGAAAGCTAAAAAAGTAAAGTACACATAGAAAGCTAATTGGTATTAAACTTTAATTTAAAGGAAGGATATTTCCTTATTTCTGCGGGGCATATGTGAAACACTTAGTACAGTGCTATTTATAGGAACGAGATGACAATCGGCTGTTTAATGTGACCCGTCTTGGATGTGACTCCCACGTTGTAACCTCGTTTTAAACTTGCCTCCACATTTTCAGATTACGGTCACGCTGAGGAGGCCTGATAATTTCAGTAAGCTGTGGCCAGCGACGTTTCAGAGTGACCCGGGTCGGCCTTCACAGCTAGCGTAACGTCTCTACTCTCAGTGACATAAGTCACACCTTACTTCACTGAAACCCAGCTATCCCATACTCTGTTCTCTTTCCATCTCCCACGATGTTGACCAGGGCTTGGACTTCGAGAGACGTATCATCATCATTATACCGGTAATCATTATTATTATTATAAAACATCAATGACCCTGTCCAGCCACCAAAACTACTTTTTGCAGCCACTTCTTTTAGAAGATTTTTTTTTTAGAGAAGACGAAGATAACGCAATTTAAATGAAAAACTAAAGATCCAGGAACTGGAACTGAAACAACACGCCTTAAATATTTCCCAGGGAAAAAAAAGTTAACACAGGATATAAGCATCAATGACTTCCGTCCCAGTTCTAGCCCCAGCACAGCCCCAGCTGAACACACCAGCGCCAGCACTGCCACCATGACTGGTGCTCCACCAGCCCCCTGACCCAGGCCAGCCCCCAGACAGCGCCATCCCTGGCTGCGAAGTTCTGTTGTCTGGGTCAACGCTGTGCGTGGCGGGCGGTGGAAGGCGGACCACAGTGAGACAGCTGCGAGAAAGCTCGATGAAAAGTAGGCATAGTGTGTGTCTGTGCACTCAGTTGCATCAGAGACCCTCTCTGGTTGCATACGCGATAATACCTGGCTCGACAAACTGCTGATAGCCTGGCGCGTTGTAACCTACTCGTGCGACGGAGCGCTCTGTTGGTCTGTTTGATTTCAATCAAGGCCTGGCCTGGGCAGGGCATGGTAAGTCTATAATAGCGGCACTGTGTATTTGGTAGGTCTGAAAGTGGTGCTGTTTTTCTCTTCCTACATCAAGGACTGGCAGGTGTACTTTAAAGCAATGCTGGGTTATTTTGTTTTGTTTTGTTTTAATTTGGGTTTTTTAAAATCGAGGGCAGATGATGAAGGCTATTACAGCGGTGCTGTGTAGGCTATTTATTGACGTCAAAATCGCTCTTCCTCTATGCAGCTATCTAGGCCTTCTCGAGCATTCGACCATAACGTGTATCACAGGGTTTATAAACTGTGAGTGTGGTGTATCAGCGCTACAGAGCTATGTGTATTTGATTCCTGAAAGTTGTGTAGGTCTTTTTTGACGGCTAGCTCAGCTGAAGTGAGAATTTCTTTGGAAGGCTTTCCGTAACGAGCGACCACCCCAACAAACACAATAAAGAAGAGAACTGACCCTACCCCTATTCCAAACACTGCCACTACCCCTCTGTTCTACTCTCTCAAAGTGGTCGGTCGTTACGAAAGGCCTCCTGTTTCTTTCTACTACCAAGATTTACTTAATATTACAATAAGTTGTGGATAAGTCAGGTAAGTTAATAATAATATATTATTATTAGTTTAGGACGTTAGACTGAAAAGAATGTATTTACAGAGATTTCAACTCACTTGAGCCTAAGCTATTTTTTCACTCAACAACCATTGAAGCATGACAATTTTGGGGAATATTGAATCCTCAGTCATAAAAAGATTGTGAAAGTTATCGTGAAAAAATAAATGAACAGAAGAAAGAAAGAAACGCTCTCACAGAAAAAGAAAACTGCATCTCATTTGCCCGAATAGTTTTTATTTTTATCAATACATGTATTTTAAAATGGCAATCCTTGGAGCCCAATTTGTAATCAAATCATGTAACAAAAACAACTGTCGTGAATGGAGTGTTCATGTTACTTATTCTTTCACTCACATCAAGGAATATGCACATATATTTTCAAAAGTGTAAAAATATTAAAATTAAAATTTACGTATGAAACTGAAGAGCCCACAAGAATGATACAAGGTATCAAACTCAAACTCCTCATAAACAAGGCTAAGCATGAAGAAAAAGCCCCTACCGTGAACAACACCCTTTTTGAGGAGGATTTCAGCATGATGGAACTTGGACAGGCCATCAAAAAATTAAAGCAAAAGAAAGCCCCAGGACCAGACAAAATACCCAACGAAATGCTGTGCAACCTTGGTGATAAAGGGAAAGATGTCATATGCCGCTTAGTAAATACCACATGGAGAACGAGCGGAATACCAAAGGCATGGAGGATCGCCCAGATCATACCGCTCCTAAAGAAGGGGAAACCACCTGGAGAAGCGAAGAGCTACCGACCTATATCACTAACATCATGTATCGGTAAGCTTGCCGAAAGAATGGTGAACAACCGCCTTTACTGGTACCTGGAAAACTCCAACAGCTTGAACCCACACCAAGCAGGCTTTAGAAAAGGCAGTAACACAGAAGACCAACTTTTCAAACTAAGTCAAGACATCCTGGATGGTTTCCAGGAGACTAAACACACTGTTGCCATCTTTGTAGATCTCCAACAGGCGTATGACAGAGTGTGGAGAAAAGGCCTACTCATGAAAATGATGGACCTTGGGATACACGGGAAACTTTATAAATGGATCAAGTTTTTCCCAGCGGATCGAAACATCGAAACAAAGGTGAACGATGCCCACTCGTCAAGAGAAGTACTCGAGGAGGGCCTACCCCAAGGTTCCTGTCTGAGTTGCACTTTGTTCCTGATCTTCATTAATGATGTGACGAACGTGCTGAAATAAAAAAAAGACTCCCTACGCTGATGATCTTGCTCTCTGGCAGACACATCGCAGCACGGTAGTAGGAGCAGGAAAATTAAATGAAGACCTCAAGAGGCTCCACAATCAAGGGCGAAGGCTGACTTCTTTGACAAGGTAATCAAAGTGAAACGGGACCAGATATAGCCTGTATATATGACACAAGAATCTTACTCGAGGCGGCGACTCTGAGTTGTGAATGAAAACAAATCCGGAATTCATATTGTATGTTCAACCGCCAAAATAATCGGGAAAGTATCTTATTAAATATCAATTCCAACTAAAATTAAATTTAACTTTAGATGTGAATACATAAACACAAAGAAAAGAAGCAGAGATGTCAGTACTAGATCTATATGTTATAGATCTACCAGTGAGTCTAACTCTTTGGTAGAACATGACAATTATCATTTTTTAAATTTTACATTTGGCTGTTTTTGTTAGCCTTCCGCGGCCAGGAGCTGGTGTCATAATCGAGGTCACGATCTGATTATAGGACGGTAAAAAGTCGAGGAAAAAAAGCAAGTGCTTGCAACAGTGAAGAGATTGTTTCCCCTCACATTTGTGAGGTAGACTCGACCAGTGTTAGTTAGCTTACATAATCAGGGCTTGAGATTGATTTTAACTGTGACCCCAAAGGGGTGAACAGGGTATATGTAGCAATGAAACAGCTTAGACTGCTATGCACATGTTCCCTTCAACTATATTGGTGGACTCTTCCAGCCTCACTTTTAGCTTACTTAATCAAAGCTTGCGACTGCTTATGGGGTGGCCCCAGAGGGGTGAGGAGGCTATTTCTGTGGCCGTGAAACCGTTTTGAATGTTAGGCATACTGTTCATTGTTGATTACGAACGTCTTTTGACCTTTAATTTAAGACGTTTACGTTTATGGATGAATTTGACAGCGACAATGTTTCAAAATTAGGAAGGGAAGCAGTGATTATTTGATTATATAGACGCTTCGCCCCTGTCCACAACTACTGTCAGAAATGGAAACTCAAAATAAACTGCTCGAAAACAGTATACACCGTCTTTACAAAGAGCCATAAAACAGCCAAAGAAAAACTCGATAGGAAATGAAAATCTCCCCAAAGAAGAACAACCAACGTATCTAGGAGTCAAACTTGACCAAAGTCAAACAATGAAAAGCCAAGTGGAGAGCATAAAGAACAAGGCGAAAAGAAGACTCCAACTTTTAAAGAAACTCGCAAGCAGTTCATGGGGATCAGACAAACAAACTCTGAGAGCTGTATACCTTGGTTATGTCCGATCTTCCCTGGAATACAGCAATAGCCTACTCACTATGTGTAGTGCAACTACTTGCAGCACCCTTGACAAGGTCCAAAATAATGCCTTTCGTTTCATAAATGGTGGCATGAGATCTACACCTACTGCCGCATGTGGAATTCTGTCAAATGTTGAACCCCTGGGAATATTCAGAGATGAAGCAGTTTTGGAGCTTCATGAAAGAACCAAAAGAATATGCCCCAACCACCCAAACAGGAAATTAGTAGAAACATAGAAACCAAAGAAACGACTTCAACAAAAATCAGTCATGCATCGCATCACAGAACTAATGGAGAGCCACCATCTACCACAAAACAGAAGAGAAACCAAAAGAGTCAACCAAAACATCCCTCCCCACATTTCTATGGAAAAACCAATCATTAAAACTTCTCTCAGAGATAATAGCACAAAATCTTCAGACCCAGTGAAGTTGATGCTTGCATCACATCAAACAATCGACAGCTATTCAGATGACTGGATACACGTCTATACAGACGGCTCAGCATTCAAAAGCACAACCAAAGCCGGATATGGTATACTAATACAATACCCAGATGGAAGTTCCAATAAGATCTCTGCAGCCTGTGGAGAGAAATGCAACAACTACGACGCAGAAATGATAGCAATTGAAACAGCACTATACCATCTCCGCACAGTTTTTGACACTCATCCAAACAAAACACAGAGTATAGTGATCTTCACTGACTCACTATCAGTCTTGCAAGCAATAGAAAATGATCACCATCTAAACGAAGACTTGACACATATACTGTTTGGCTCCCATCATCTGATAACATTCTGTGGCGTCAACCTGGTGATGCAGTGGATTCCTGGACACTCAAACATACCTGGAAATGACAGAGCAGACACACTCGCCAAAAGGGGATCTAGACAGGAACAACCCAACATTCCAACTTCATACAACACTGCAAAACAAATCATTAAAAGCAACATCAAACAAGATTGGATGAACAGATGGGCCCTGGGAAAGACAGGCAGAGCAGTTTTCAAACATATGACTACAACAAAGCGAAATGACAATATCAACCACCTACAGAGAAAGAAACAGACCACGATCTTCCGCCTAAGAACAGAACATATACAGCCCAACTTTCACTTGAACAGAATAAAACCAGAACTTCCCCCAATGTGTCCTTTGTGTGACTATGCATATGAGACAGTGGAACATCACCTTTTCCACTGTACAGCCTAAATGGCATCAGAGCTACCCTTCTCCCTCCGAGACCTAACTTCGACAACACACTCTACGAAACATTACAGCAACTGCAGCAAACCTGCACTTATCACTACAAGACATTGGACAGAAGGGCAAGAACCCAGATGTCGCTGGATCGATAACAACAACAACAACAACATCAACAACAACAACAACAACATCAAACTCAAAGTTCACAAAGTACGTTTAATTTAAATTTAAATTTTTGAAATATTGTTGTTGGTTTTGTTTTTATTCATTTCCACTTCATTCTTTTACTCACATCAAGGAACATTCACGTATATTTTCAAAAGTGTAAAATTTTGAAAATCAAAATTAAAATTAAGATATAAAACTGAAGCGCTCACAAGAATGATACAATTATACGATCGTTAAAACGCGCATCGCAGTCTTAAGATTGCCGCGCAATTATACGATTGTTAAAACGGGCGCAATCCGCCGATCGGTAAATTAAATATAGTGTTGTCTGAAGTCCACCCTGAGATACTACTGTCTTTTTCTCACCTTGTGCATTGTTATACCGGCAACTAATACATTTACGGGTACTATTCCAACAACTAAACTCACACAAAAAAGTCAAGGAACAAAAATTCAGAGAAAGATAACTGAAGAACTGTGTAACTGAATTTATTCATTTTTTTCCCCAAAAAAGATGCTTTCGACTCTCTAGATTAAGTGAGTACAATTTCAGATTTCAGCAACAACGAGAAGTTCTTGTAAAATGAGTTTAAGTCTCACTGGCGGGATTCCAAAAGTCTGAACAGCCATAGTTCTTCATGAACATTGTCAATGTGTATGTAGCCACTCCGTTTGCTCAAACACTCGGCACAGCGTCGACGCATGGACAGGACATGCCTTCGAAGAACTTGTTGCGGTAGGTTCTGCACTCCTGGACGAGGTAGCGCAAGAGTTGTTGAAGGTTTTGTGCAGGAGGGTGGTCGTCCCTTATTCACCGGTCAATGTGATCCTAAATGTTCTCTATTGAGTTCAAATCCGGACTACAGGCTGGTCAGTCCATGCGAGTGACAGCTCGTTGCTGCAGGAAGTCCCCCACGATGCGTGAGCCATGTGGCGTAGCATTGTCGTCCTGCAGTGAGAGCTTTTTGCTTTTGTTGTTTGTTTGTTATGTTGCATTTTGTAACAGTTGTTATGTTTACTGAATAAAAGGGGGAGGGGGTAATTCATTGTTTTTATTGTCTTACGTTTATATTATGTAGAAGGTTCTGTGTTTCGTTAAGGGTCTTTTTTCTCCTTGCATCTCCTTGCACCTCATTTTTTCTCCTTGTTTTAATATTTTTTATACACTCCCAGATTGGCCACACGATCAGTATCATAGACGCAAGAGCCACAATGACGTCAGCAGCAGTGACCTCCTTCCTCGCGGCCGCCACTCTCTTATTGGCCGGCAACCATCACGTGACCCAGGCCAAGACAGTTGTCTTGTTCTCTCCCCCTCACACCGCTAACGTGCGCACATACACCAACACAGGCCGCGCCCTGGCCGCGCTAGGACATGACGTGTACGTCCCTGTGCCGGACTTCATGCTCAAAGACAACTCCGTCAACGTGCAGGGCATCAACGTCATCCGGTACGGCGAATATCTCGGTCATTTCGACGAAAAGATCGGACAGAAGGTCATGGACAACTTCTGGAGGAACCAGTCTGTGGGTCTTAAAGATATCCCAGGGTACATCAAGTTGGTCGAAGACTTGGCTACTCAAATTTTGTCAGATAAACAGCTGATTGAAAAATTCAAAGAAATTAAGCCGGATATGTTTGTTTTGATGAAGCATCCTATGGTTAGAGATTTTGTCATTTTCCCCTATATGTTGAATGTTCCTTTTTCGTTTTTGTGTTATTTCAACGATTATATTGGACAAAGGGTTCCGGTCAGTCTGTCCTCCTCACCTTTGCACATGAATGGTGATTTTCTAGAACAGGGTATGACTTTCATCCAACGTCTTAAGAATAGCATGGTTCATTTTCTTTTTCTTTTTCTCCACGAGTACACATCCAGTGATAAAAGTGTGGCAAGGTTCGCACCTCACCGACCCAGAATATCTACCAAGGAGATCATGTCCCAGGCGGAAATTTTCATCGTGGAGAGTGACCCCATTATGGATTTCGCTCGTCCGCAGCTGCCAAATACCAAATTTGTGGGAAGCACAGCGGGGACTTCCCCGAAAGAACTCAAAGAGCCGTTCAAAAGCTTCATGGAGAAATCTGTGAACGGCGTGGTCGTGGTTACGTTCGGAAGCAGCATTCTGGAGATACCGGACTATATTGCCTCCAAGATGGAGTCGGTGTTCCTGAAGCTGAAACAGAACGTGGTTTGGCGTGTGAAACTCCAGTCTCCTGATCCGGGTAAGATTCTTACGTCTTCCTGGGTACCGCAAAATGACCTCCTAGGGCACAAGAATACCAAGCTCTTCGTCTCCCACTGCGGTATGAACGGACAGTACGAGGGAATGTACCACGCCGTGCCAACACTTTGCCTGCCTTTTGGGAATGACATGCCGTACAATGCTCAAAGGGGCGTTGCCAGAGGTTTTGGTCTAAAGGCCGACATCCGTGAGGTCACAGACATAGAGCTTCTGGCGCTGATGAGAGAAATGCTGGAGAACAACAAGTATAAGAAAAACATACAGAAAGCCTCGGACCTTTACAAAGAACTGTATAAGAGTCCGGTCAACGAGACGGCATTCTGGTTGGATCACGTGATGAAGTATGGTGGCGCCTACATGAGGTCAGCAGGTCAAAACATGCCCATGTACCAGTTCCTGGCGCTAGACGTTCTGGCGTTTTTAGCGGTTGTGAATGTGGTTGTTGTTCTGTTGGTGTACAAGACATGTCGCTGTTGTTGTGGAATATGTTGTGGCAAGAAGAGGAAATCAAAGAGTGATTAGTTAGGGTGTACTTGCATGCACGAGGGACGTTTATAAAGTCTTCATTCTAACCTTGAAAAAGCAAGCTAGAAAGTTGAAATTTGACAGTCGTAATGCGATTTTTTACACAGCCACCTCTCTTTCTCTCTCTCTCTCTCTCTCTCTCTCTCTCTCTCTCTCTCTCTCTCTCTATTTCTCCATTACGAGTGTGCTATAGTTCGGCCATTCTTAAAAGCCTTCGCCCCTCGGCAAGACCCGTGAACACCTTTCAGCAGGACATACCACCAGAGATTTGCAAGCGAAAGCGGGGCAGGAAAGGCGGTGTTCGAGCCCGTGTTCGCAGGAGGCCTTCCAAACCGTTCCTCCCGACTATCATTACTGGTAATGCTCGATCTTTGAACAACAAACTTGACAAACTAAGGGCTAATGTGAGACATCTGCATGAATATAGAGAAGCCTCCATTCTATGCTTCTCAGAGACCTGGTTCACTGAAGACACCACCAATGCTAGTGTAGACCTAAAAAGGTTCAATGTTTTTCGTACAGACAGGAATAGCTTCTTAAATAAAAGTCATGGTGGAGGTGTGTGTGCGTACATTAACGATCGATGGTGCCACCCCAATAACATACAGGTAGTACACCAGTCCTGTTCTCCCCATGTGGAAGTTCTCACTTTACAGCTACGTCTGTTCTATCTACCCCGTGAGTTCCCAAGTATATTTATGAATGTTGTGTATATTCCTCCACTCGCCAACGTCCCAATTGCCACCGATACTCTATCCGACCTCATTCACAACCAAACTACAAAATCTCCTGACGCAGCTATTTTTACTACCGGTGACTTCAACAGCTGTACTCTTAACGCCGCCCTACCCAACTTGACCCAG